TGCGGGAGCACAGGCTCCCGCGCCACAGCCAGCTCAGGGGAAGGACTGCCTTACTAATGTGGGCACACGGCCACCCGCCCTTCCGTTCTGCCCACGCCCAGCCAAGCCTGCCACCCTCTCCCCATAAGCAGCCTGCCAAGGAGGTAGATTCTAACCCGATTCTCCATGAGAGAGAGCAAACCCCTCCCCACCTTTCTCCACCCCATCTTGGTACCTGAGGGAGTCAAGGGTGACCTGGGAAGACATCTGCAAGTGAGGCAGCTGGTGAGGCCCGCGTGCCCTTGTGGCAGCTCCATCCTGGGCCGATAATGAAGATGGCTTTTGAGCGTACAAAGGACAATAAATTATTACTTTGCGCTCAATAAATGCCAGGGCTCCAGGCAGCTGCATCAGCAGCAAACTGTGCTCACAGAAAAGCTTAATTATCCTGATATTATAGTTAAAAGCCAGTGGTACTCGTGTCCTGGGGAAACATTCTTCACTTGGCAGGAGGCAACCTGGGCCAAGCTGTGGGTAGCTGAAGGTAGTATCCTGGGAGTATCCATGCAGCCCTAGATCTCCAGAACCCTATCTTGGCTTCTCTGTAGGACCAGAGAAGCCACAGTGACAACCAGTCAGCACAGACCCTTCATGCCAGTCCCTGCCCAGGTTCCTGAAGAAAATGGGGCAGGCATGATGGGGGGTTCCCTAAGTGTGTTTTAGATAGAGACTTGATGGAAGCCCAGGGGAATAGCCTGGGAGATCGTACCTTTCAAGGCATGGGAAAATAAGCTTCCAGGATTTTGCTTGGGCTGAAGAGGCCCAATGTGTCACAGGGCAGCAAGGGGGGCAGTCACAGCTGTGCCATCCCTCGAGCTGCTGTTTAGACCCAGGGGCCTCTAGAGGGACTCACTTGAAGAGCTTCAGTGTACACAAGGGGACATGATCCTGTGGCTGATATTATTCCCCACAGAGGAAAAGGAAGGCTGAATTCCTCGTGACCCTCTGGGAGAAGGGCAGCTTTGCGTTTCATTCTTTTCAGATGAACTTGTCTCCTCCCCAAATCTTCCAGAGCCTAGCCCTAGTCCTTTTCCTGACTTCATCCTGGAAGCTGGTGGCAAAACTTCTGCTCTTTAGTCTCATTCCTCAGAGAGTCTTTTGGTTCTTACGAACCCCACTGTCTTCCATCTCTGCTCTTCAGTTCTCTCCAGATTCTCTTCTTGTGGGCTCTGGGGAGCCGCCTTGACTGCTGTAAAGAATCCCAGGCAGCAGGCAAGTGGCGTGTGAAATTAGCCAAGGGAGACATTAGGAGATGATTTCTAGACAGTCCTTTCAAGAAGCTGAGGAAAAAGAGGGCAGTGATAGAAGGATGGCAGGAAAGGGGAGAAGTTGAAAGGATCAGAGGTAAGGAGAGAAGCCAGGAAAGAAGGTGCAGAGGAGACGGAGAAAGAAAGTTGCCAGCAGAGAAGGAAGAGGCACAGAGGAAGAAGGTTCTGTGGTTGAGGGCAGTTTGGGGAAATACTGGCAAATTTCATGAGATTCCTCCTTTTCTCCTTGAAGGTATTCCTGAGTTCCTTTCAGATCCCTGGGCCCCTTAGGATTAGGCAGCTTGGACAGAGGGGGAGTGAGTCATGACCCTGGGCTGAACCTTGTATGCCAGGATGATTCATGGGGATTTAGAGGCCTGTGGCAGATTTGTCTGACTCTCCTGGCAGCTGGGCTCCTTGATTGGCCGGACACTACCCACAAGGAGAGTAAGGGAAGCCACCCAGGAACTTGCCATGTTACTTTCTCTACTGCTTGAACTAACCTAGGCATTCAGGAGGGGATCCAATGGGGACTACACGTCCCAGAATGCAGCACTCTGCCCTGAGCTCAGAGGATGGGTTTATACTGCATGATGGGAAAAATAATGCACCTGAGCTGTCCCTCCCTCTAAAGATGGTCAACACAGCCTCTATGTGAAGCGTTCCCAGTTAGATTGAGGGAGGGCCTGCGTCAAAGTGGGAAGCAGTAGTTTCTGTCAAACACCCTCTCTTATGCCCCCTAAGAAGTGCATTCTACCCAGACTTCAGCATCACTCACAAACCAAGGATAATAAAATGCCAAAGGGGCATTCAGCTGTCTACAGGGTTTGCAGGCTTATAGTGTACTCAATTCATATACACATTTGAAAGTGGCATCCTGGGAGACTTGCGGGGCTCCTCTCTCTGGTCTCATTCCCCCATCCTCTGTGTACCCCACATGCTCTTTGCCCCCAGAAGAGCCTGGGCTTCCCCTGTCTATGAAATTACTTGCTCAATTGTCTGTCTTCTTTACTTGTTGATTCAGTGAAGTCAAGGACTATGTCTTTCTTATCTACCCCCAACTGAGCCCAGTGGCTGGCACATAGTAGATGTTCAATAAATATCTGTGAATACATGATGGGGGTGGGGAGTGTTTAAAGCCCAAGGTAGGTCACTAATGCTAAATGAGTGCTGTGAGACAATGGAGAAGGGGGCAGGTGCTTTTCTGGGGTGTGAGGTGAGGTCAGTGAAGGTTTCACACAGCAGATGGGTGAAACAAACATGTTTTAAGTTTCAGTCAACGGAGAGGAAGAGTGGGGGGCATGGTCATGCAGAAGCAAAGTGGTGGAAAATGCAAGATGGTCTAGGGTCAGGGAGAAGACTGCTTCTGGTGGAGCAAAGAGTCCCTGCAAGGAAGGAGGAGAAATGGCTGGAGTAGGCCATGTTATGAGAGGCTTTGTGGTCATCCGAGCCACAGGATATTCTTGGTGGCTACATTCAAGGAGTTACCCCATCATGAAGGTATTTGCGTTGAAACTGGGGAGTCTGGAATCATTAAGGTGGTTTTCAAGCACCATGGCAAGTGGTAAGAATTGCAGAGTTCACTGCTGACTCAGAAACGGGGGCATCTGAGCTACATTATATATAGTTGGATTGGGATTGAAAGCCAGAGAGGGGGATGAAGGGGCTCTGCTGTCCCAGTGATCTTCGCAGCCCTGGCCCAGACAGTGCCAGACATTCAGCTCATCCCTGGGGAAGTCAGCCTCACTTTTCCACTTCCAAACAGCCCATCAATTTGCGGGATCACAGGCACATTGATGGCTTATTTTGAAGTCTCTGCTGGGATGACACTTGCTTTCTGAGCGAGAGGAGGAAAAAATTACTCTCCTCCAACACAGCTTTCAAACCACAGCTATATCCTCTGTGGAGCCAAAGGGTTTTGGGGGTTTCAGGCAAGCAGGGGCAGGGGCTGCCACCTCACTCCAGAGATTCCAGGGGCACAGAGCTGCCTGCTCACCTAGCCCATTTCTTGGAGTGGGCTTTAGACCTTGCAGGATCTGGAGCAGTCAGAGATGCCAGGGGTCCAGCCAGGTTTCCTGGATTACCCAAAGTCGACCCTTTGCATTTAGGGGCAGGAGGAGGGCCCTGCCCTGGGAAATAGAGTCCTGCCTCCTGGGCATTTGCTCCCACTCCAGGAGCGGAACCAGCTCAGCTGTAGCAAGAGTCCAGGGTGGATGGAGACAGTAGCAGAAAATGGTTTGATGTGAACTACTTTCCATCTCCAAGCCGAGGCCTCCAGCCTGCCCACCACCCCAAGCCGAGGTCTTTGATCCTCCACAGCTCCATAAATGTTTAATGCCACCAGCTGGGCAGAAATGAGGCAGGTGCTGGAACAGGGAGACTAGGGATAGAAATTAAGATCCACAATGTTGGCTTGATTATTTTCATGTAAGAGCCCTAAGATGGGAGGGAGGATGCCTTTCCCCACCATGTGGCAGGAGAAGTCCCAGGGTTCAAGTTTGTCATACTAATAAAGAAAACCCTTTGAAAACCACCAAGGGGCTGAAAATAAAATGAATAATCAATTGCAAAAGCCCAATCCCTGGTTTGATTGAAGGAGAAAGATGGAAAGTTAAATGACAATCAAATGCAAATACAGCTCAACAACACCACACCAATTACCAGGCGCAGGAACCACATGGTACTTGCAGGCAGCAGGGGCTGGCAATTTGGAAGCCTAGGCTTGTACAGAGGTGATGGGCATGAGACAATTTTAATGGACAGTTAAATAGATGCAAAAAACCCTGCATCTGCTTTGCATACACTGCTGATGACTGGGGAACTGGAATCCTGGAGTCCAGAGGGAGGTTGTACTACCTTCTGTGGCCGCCTGTGCAACATTTCAGAATGCAAGAGACCCTGAGAGGTGAGGCCAGAGTGAGCACCTGGATCGGAGGACCATGAGAAGGCTGTGCCAGTCTCATTGGATTCTTCATACCAGCTGGTGCTGAAAGTGCAAAGGTGGAAATTGAAAGGAGCCTGTGGCATCCTCTGCAAAGGGCTCAAGGCACTAGCCCTGGTAAGAGTGGCCTTCTCCTCTAGATTTGCATAATGCTTTGCATCTCATTTGAATGCTATTAATTTGGTGTCAGGCTGGGCTGGCACAGTGTAGGAAAGAGAACAGCTGGCCTTATCCCTCCCCTCTGTACCTCAGGGACTACTCTGAGCATAGCCCTCCCCAATTTGGGGGTCATGCGGTCTCCACTTCCACTAACCTCTCAGTGTTGCCTGACACTTGGAAGCCAAGGCTGCCTGGGTAGTGTGGCCACAGCAGAATTATGCTGAAGGAAGAAGAAAGGG